TTCCTGTTAGCCCACCCCTGTAACCTATCCAGATCTCTCTGCAATCTCTCACTCCCTGCTAGCGTGCTCACCTCCCCCCAAATTTTGGTGTCATCAGTTCCAGCTTATTGTTTTTGGTCTGTATACCTGATTTTATTTAGGCTACAAATTTGTTAATTCTGTATGTACAGAGTGACTGACCCACTGCAATCTATGAATGGGTTCCTTCTGACTAGTGACCATTACAGCTCTTAAGACACAAGAATATGACAGGGAATGGTCAAGTAGATCAATCACGTAACAGGAGGATAATTCCGGTATGTTTTTTTTTACTGGCTTATAAATCACAAAACATTTTGAAAAACATTCTAACTGAAGATATTTCATAAAACAAATACATAATCCTTCATGTCAGGTCAGTTTATTTGTAAAGAAGGAGAATTCACACTATTCTTTCAGCTAACATCATGATTCCACATATCAAGGACCAGACAGGATGCTTTCTGGATTGTTCAGGGAAATGGTTGAGGTAATTAAAAGAACCATTAGCTATCATCTTTGAGAACTCACGGAGGTCAGGTAAGGTTCCAGGTGACTGAAAAGGGGCAGATATAGTGCTCATCTTTAAGAAAAGAAAGGAGGAGGATCCAGAGAATTGCATATAAAATCATAGAAAATTAGGGTTAGAAGTGACCTCAGGAGATCATGTAGTCCAATCCCCTGCTCAGGTCAGGACCATCCCCAATTAGATCATCCCAGCCAGAGCTTTGACTAGCCAGATCTTCAAAACCTCCAAGGAGGGAGATTCCACCACCTCTCTGAGTAGCCTGTTCCAGTGCCTTACTACCCTCCTGGTGAGAAAGTTTTTCCTAATATCTAACCTAAACTTCTCTTGCTGCAACTTGAGACCATTGCTCCTTCAGGTAGTTGAAGGCTGCTATTAAATTCTCTCTCAGTCTTTTCTTCTCCAGACTAAATAAGCCCAATTCCCTCAGCCTCATGTGGCCCCAGAAGTGATGTGCTCCAGCCCCCTAACCATTGTTGTTGTCCTACACTGGACTCTCTCCAGTTTGTCTACATCCTTCCTGTAGTGGGAGGGCCAAAACTGGACACATTACTCCGGATGTGGCCTCACCAGTGCTGAATAGAGGAGAATTACTTCCTTTGATCTGCTGGCAATGCTCCTACTAATGCAGGCCAGCATGCTGTTAGCCTTCTTGGCACCAAGGGCACACTACTGGCTCATATTCAGCTTCCTATCAACTGTAACGTCTACGTCCTTTTCTGTAGAGCTGCTGCTTAGCCAGTCAGTCCCCAGCCTGTACTAGTGCATGGGATTGTTCCATCCTAAGTGCAGGACTTTGCACTTGTCCTTGATGAGCCTCATAAGATTTCTTTTGGTCTAATCCTCCAATTTGTCTAGGCCTCTCTGAATCCTAGCCCTATCTTTTAATGTAGCTACTACTCCCCCCACCTAAATGTCACCTGCAAACTTGCTGGGGGTGCACTCCATCCCCTCTTCCAGGTCATGGGGTACTCCGCTTGATATTGGCTGCCAATTAGATGGAGCCTTTGATTACAGCCCTTTGAGCCTGATGATCCAGCCAATTTTCTCTACACCTTACAGTCTATTCATCCAACCCATACTTCCTTAGCTTGCTTGCAACCATATCAAAAGCCTTGCTAAAGTCGAGGTATATCATGACTGGCTCTGTGGATGTAGGAAGAACTGTGGACATCTCATCATAGTAGGCAGTTTGTTTGGTCAGGCATGACTGGCCCATGCTGACTGTTCCTAATCACCTTCTCCTTCAAGTGCTTAGAAATGGATTCCTTAAGGACCTGCTCTGCGATTTTTCCAGGGAATGAGGTGAGGCTGACTGGTCTGTAGTTCCCCTGATCCTCCTTCTTCCCTTTCTTAAAGATGGTCATTATATTTGCACTTTTCAATTATCTGGGACCTCTCACTATCACCATGAGTTTTGAAAGATAATGGCCAGCAGCTCTGCGATCACATCAGCCAACACTCAGCACCCCCAGGTACATCATGTCCAGCCCCACAGACTTCTATATGTTCAGCTTTTCTAATGTGTCCCTAACCTTTCTTTTGCCACTGCTGGCTGCTCACCTCCTCCCCAAACTGTGCTACCAGGTGCAGTAGTCTGGGAGCTAACCTTGTTTGTGAAGACTGAGGTGAAAAAGAGATTGATTACTTCAGACTTTTCTGCATCATCTGTCGCTAGGTTGCTACCCCCCATTTAATAAGAGACTCATACATTCCCTGGTCTCCCTCTGGTTGCTGAATCAGTCAGTCTGACCTCAATACCGGGAAAAAATCATAAAACAGGTCATCAAGGAATCTATTCTAAGCTCCTGGAGGAGAACCAGGTGATCAGGAACAAAAGTAAATCATGCCTGATCAAACTCAATGGTTTCTAATAAACCCAACATGCTCTACGGATGTAGAGCACTGGATGAGGTACACTTTGATTTCAGCAGGACTTTTGACATAATTTCCCATGACATTCTTACTAGTAAGCAAAAGAAATACAGTCTAGATGAAAATATTGTAAGGTGACTACATAACTGGCTGGATCATCATACTCAACAAGTAGTCATTAATAGCCTGAAAACTAGTTGAAATAAAGTACTGAGCGAGTTTCCTTAGGAGGTCTCTCCTAGGATTGAGTTCATGCTTAGCAAATTTTCAGGTCACACCAAGCTGGGTGGAGTTACTGACACTGGAGGGTAGGATTAAAATTAAGAATGACATTGATAAACCAGAGAAATAGTCCAAAATTAACTGAATGAAATTCAGTAAGGAAAAAGTGCTAAGTCCTACACTTTGGATGGAATAAAGCATATGAACAAATACAGACTGGGAAATTACTGGATAAGCTGCACTACTATTTAAAAAAAGAAAGAGAGACTTGGAGGGGATGAGGGGTATTATAGTAGATCATAAGATGAATGTGAGCCAGCACTGGGCTCCTGTTGCAAAAGCCAATCACATATTTGGCTGTATTAATAGGAGTGTTGCTTGCAAGCCAAGGAAATGAATTCCTCTGCTCTATTCAGCACTGGTAAAAACTACTGCAATCATTTTTTAGCACTGCACATAAAGATGGGGCAAATTAGAAAGGAATCCAGTAGTGAGCAATGGAAATGATTAGAGTTGGAAATGATTAGAGTTGGGATGTACAAGGACAGGCTGAAAGAACTGGGATTACTTAGTCTGGAGAAGAAAAGACTGAGGGAAGGGATTTAATAAGTTTTCAAATACCAGAAGAGTAATTACAAAGATGGTGTAGACTATTCTCTGTGGCTAGAGGCATTAGGACTTGAGTAAAGGCCTTAAATTGCAGCAAGAAAAGTCTACATTGGATGTTAGGGAGGACCGTTTCACTTTGAGGGTGGTCAAACATTGGAAAAGACTACCTAGAGAAGTTGTTGAATCTCCACAGAAATTTAAGAGCAGAGATAGCTGAGACAGGGATGATTCTGCCTTAAGCAGAGGGCTAGAGTAGATAACTTCCTAAGGCTGCTTTCATCTCTACTTTTCTTTTTCTTTTTTTTGTCTTGCCACACCTGTAGGTTTGCAGGGCTCCTGGAAAAGCATCTGTATCAAAAGGGTTCCTGAGATGGGGAAAGTATTCATCACTATCCTTTTGAATAATTTTTCAGGAATAACCAGATTTTATTTCAGTTCATGGACAATTTTGATTTTCAGGGTACACAATTGTTCAGGAAAACAATCTCTCTCCTGATTCCCAGTTTCATATCCTTAATGTCATTGGAGCCACAGTATCCAGACAAATAGTTTGATCAGCTCCTCACATAAGAATTTCTAAATGTTTTTTCCTTCAAGAAAAGAAATGAATACCAATAATCCAATGACTTTAAGCAATTCTATAGCCAAAGGGATTAAAACCCCCCCACCATGCAGTGTATGGCCCATCTCACTTTCCTCTGCTAGATATAGAGAATTTGGTTCCTTCCCGCCAGATCTCTACCACCATGAAGGAGCCAGTTTATGCGTCACAAAACGAAAAAAAAGTGTACCATGCCTTTCTTAAAATTTGTTCCCACCGAGTTAAAAAAAAACCCTCTAGTTGGGGTGGGTTTTTTGTAATTTGTAGATTAACTCATATTGCAATAACTGCCTCCAAACTTCCTAGAGTTGAATGCTTTCTTTAAATCCTAAATTGTGCACAAGTGTCACTTTATTATGTGCAATTGTAATTACTGATATATTACTGTAGGTAAAACACACTCAAGCTCTACATAGGACTTACCTTTTCCATTCATGTCACCTACTGGAACGAGACGGCCAATGCAGAGTGGACGATTCCCATAAGGATCACGTACTGCATAGATTATATCTTTATGCATAAGTAGCAATGAATATGAAGTAGGGGTTTCATTCATTAAATTTTTAATTCTGAAATGAGATGCAAGGAAATGCCACAACATTAGAGATGTCTGTGTTCAGTTACTTGTGCTGATGTGTGTTATATTTAAACAATATTGCTGTTCCTGAAGCACAAACCTCTCACCTTGCTACCCAGTCAGCTGTATCATCATTCTCTAGAGGAGGGGTAAATGCCAGCAGCTGGGTGATTAATTCACTGTCAGAACTTGTTGACAGCCCCACACCATGTCGCATCAGCTTTTTAAAAAGACAAGACAAAATAAAGTATTAGCAATCGATTAAAAACACCACTACCACCATTGAACTATTATAACTGAGCAAGAACTGGGTCTACCAAAAAGGTACTTTAACAGAAGACATCTCCTAATTGCAGCCAATCACATGAAAAGGAACCTTAAGTACAAGTTGTAGACTTTTGCCTCAAGAGTCAACAGGCTTGTACCAGCATAAAGGACTGGCATAGACCACTGGTACTCAAACTATTTTAAACAAGTAGTCCAAACCTTAAAATTAGGACTGGGCTGAGGTGGCATAGAAAAACATAGCAGGAGCTTTGCATGTGCAGTGAGCTCTCCTAAGCTCACCAGTTATCAGCATGAGCTCTGGCTGAGCAGCAGGGGAAAAGGGGATAAGCAGTGATGTTGTTCACCTCCTGGTCTCCAGAGCTGACAATAGTGAGTTCAGACAGCTCACTGTTTATGTGGAGCTCTAGCATGAGCCATGCTAACGTGATGGTGAGCTCAGACAGGGAATTGGTATTAAGATAGGCCATTCACATGGGCTTCAAGGGTCTGAGGCCCCACATATAGCCTGAGGGCCATAAGTTGAGCATCACTGGTACATACAGATCATTGCTCTTGGTTCTGCATATCTTAATCTTTGGCTTGTTGCTCTATGTTGTTGATGTGTGACCAAAGGATCAAGGAAGCCTAATAGCTGCTGTCTTGGGATTTTGCCTGTTTTGCACTACTACTATCCTATGGAGAAGAAGCAGACACCAAGAAGGAACCAGGGGACAAATAATAAAGAGAGAAAACTCCAGGAAAGAGTGAAAGAAAAAGTGACTAAAGGATAAGGAAGGGAAACAACAGGGTCCTTGCCTAACTTGGCATATTTTTTTTGCAAATTGAATAAGACTGGACATTTTTATTTTGCTATAAGAATACCCGCAGCTACCTTCAACCCACCATTTGAATCCATTCCCTTTTTTGCCTTTTCCTGTGGTAGCTATGAAGTTCATAGGTTGATACATGATGCATGAAGTAACAATTGCAAAACACTGTAAGTTTATAACATTGTGTACTCATGTGTCCCTCTACTTTTGTATTATGAAACAGTTAAAAAAGCAGCATCTGTTTTTCTTTGTGTCTTCCTACTTTAAACTCCTCCAAATTCATTTTTCATGGTCTCCTTGTGTGTTCATATCAACACATGACTGTTTTCAACCTCCACCACAAAATTCTCAGTGATAAAAATTACAGGCAATGCTCCAGATAAAAATTTTCAATGTATTATATATGATGTTTCAAAATAATTCTAAGCATCATCTTTTTTTTTTCCTACTAGCCACCATGCAATGGACAGAGATTCCAGCTGAGCTATTCACAATTATGCCTGGATTAGCTTTCCTATTGGATCAACATTAACATCACAATGAAGCTAGAAGAAAGGCAATTTATCATTGCCTATGGCAGTTATGTAGAAATTAATTAGCAAGACCATAGATAATATTGTAGAAATTAACTACAAAGCAGACTCAGCACTTCAAGGACACAGCCTGGTAAGACTCCAGAATGACTAAATCCTAGTCGCCTTGAAGTCTGAAGCAATCAAGGATGTAGCCCCCTCCCTATTAGCCAGCTTTCCAAAACAAGCACGTAGCCACAAAAACCAGTTTGAACCAATTAGGGGTCTCTCAAGCTGGCCTGATACCTTGTTACCTATCACAGTGGAAAATCCCCACCTGCGCGCGCATCTTGTCTGTAAACTATAAATCGCCTCTAACAGTTTTATTCGGGGCCTTTTAGCTTGCTCAGGGTGCCCAGCATGCTGAATAAAATTTGAGACTGACAGCGACTCTGTGTCTTTGGGAACAGCTCCGCAAGGGGTCACGGACTCCGCAACAATTTGGCGACCCAGATGGGACCCCTTGTGTCATGACCTGGCTGCTCGTCGTTCGGACCAACCTTCCCAGCTGGCATAAGTGAGTTTGTCACCATTTGGAGGGCTTGGTCCGGGCGTCGGGTAAGTGGGGTTTGCCATGAGGAGTAGCCGTTCCCGGGAATTTATAGACCAGAGTGCCTAAGTCTCTGGAGGATGGGACAATCGGCTTCAAACATCCCAC